GGGATTCAGGTCCTTATACAGTGCCCCCGTCCATGGTATCCAAGTACATTCCCCCTCCGTACAGTATAGCATACAGTCAGCATCAATCACGGGCAGTCCATTCCTCCTTTCTGCCTACCTTACCCCTGGCAAAAATTGCACAAAGATTAATTTTATTTTAAAAGCTGGTGGAGCACAGCTAGAGAACATTTCCAATTGGGTCACACTGACCTTTAGACATATTTTGTTTGTTCTGTTCAAAAACATTGATATTCTCAGTATGTCCCTCACGAGGTCAGGCTGGTTCCATTAGTTTCCTAGACTCTCTGCAATCAGTATTTTTAACACCAAGTAATAAAGCTGTTTGGGAACTAGTGAACTGGAATCTGGGCATTGAACTCAGAGGGGGTAAAGAACTCAGAGAAGGAAATAGTTTCTTCTGAAAGAAATCACTGTAAATATTTTATTAGATCACTTGACACAATTTTTAACATTACTAATTAAAACAGGCCATGATACAGATTTCATTCCATGTATCCCCAAAGATCAGATATAGTTTTGTTTTGGGGGGGTGTTTCCATTTCTATTAAACATTTTTGCATATTTTAGTATTCAAGACTATAACCACAGGTGGCGTTAAGCATTTTCTCAAAGCTAGTATATTATACCTAATGACAACAAGCATGACTAAGAGGAGAGTTTATAATGACCCCTGGTACTTTGTGGTTTTAACTTGAGTGGTGTACATTTAACATCTTGAATTCTCCATGTTCATTTCTCCACAGCAGGGTTTTATGAAAAACCCTTTGCTCAATTAGTCCAGATTGCTCTTGAACTTCAACTGCAAACCCCACAAGTGACCAGTCCTAATATTTTTAACAAAAAAAGTTTAATTAGCTTCAGAATAATGGCAGTCTTTGGTACCGCAATTAATCACATTTATCTCATTCCCTCCTTCTCACCTCCTTCATTCCACCAATCCTCTCTCAATCCTCTGTCCCTCCTCTGTATCTCCCTTCTTCCTTATTTCCTGTCTAACAGAATCCTTTTTTCTCTCTCCCTCTTCCCTCATTTCTCTCTTTTCCCTTTCATAAAAAAACTTGTGATTAGCCAGAATTAGACTAATAGACCTTATGGTCCAATCTTTGGGGTGCTGAGGACTTGCTCTTCCATTAGATGTCAGTGGGAATTCAGGAATTCACTAAGCACCTTGGAAGATCAGGCTCTATCAAAAATGATTATATTGTGGGTTTCTTAAAATCCCCCATAAATGGAAATAAGACATTTTAACTGAGCCTTGCTGGAATGTATAAAATTAGAATACAGTACCAAATGCATTCATAAACCAGACTAAATGAAAGAAAGGATATGTATCTCTTCATATACATTATCACTAATAAATGTTTTTCCAGGGGTCTGTAATATTGCTCGGTTGATTTAGGACCATCTAATAAATGGTCAGCAAACCCTAGTGTCTCCCTCAGTCAGGCAAAGGTTTGATCTTGAAATAGGCTCTGTCAACTTAATCTTCAGTTTAAAAGAAATCAGTGCTACACACGTACTTTCAAGTCCCTGGCAAAGGCAGTGCATTTATCATCATGTTTTCTCCAAAATATTTTTTCTTCTCCGGTGCGGAAGACCCGTGTGAATAGGGGAAGCTAAGTATACACAGTACAGTGTCAGCTTCACCGCACACGTAAGGGAGCTGACAAAACACAGAAACATCTTCTCACTCTCATCTGTGCATTACACTCATCTCAGGTGCTCACCGCAACACTAGTAAAATATCTTCAGGAGGAAAAGTGTGATTTTTTGACAGCGTCTCTTTCAACTGCATGACAGCAAACTATCGTAACAGAGTATAAACCTGTAAGAAATTTGAATATGATGTACTGAAAAAATAGCAGCCTTGAGGCATGTCACAGAAAAACATTGGAAGTTCAAACTTCAGGATAGCTGACTGTCAGAAATGCTCTTCTCCCTCCAGAGAGAGCACTGCAGCGAGGAAACATCCGCTCTCAGGCTCTGGGAATTAGCTGGAATTTGTACAGACATTTAGGAAGCAGCGGCCCGGATTGTGTCTGCACAGAAATCTCCTGATTTCAATCACGCTCTGCACAAGCTTGAGACTCTGCTCCTATTCCCGCTTTATGATTGGGGCCAACATGTGCAACCTTGGCAGAATTAAAGCCATTGTACTTGTTACTTCCCATCTCAGAGGGCTTCCTTAAGCAGCAAATTTGCTTAGATTATCAAGCTGCCAGAAAGAAGCAACCACACACACACACAAAAAAAATCTGATCGGTTGATAAGATGCAGTCCAGTTCACTTATTAGAATTCATGAGCCTTACCACTTAATTAACATGTGTAAATATTTTTTTTAAATAACGTTTTATCATCTCAATAAGGCACTTCAGTGCGTGAATTATGGTGCATTAATTCACGCCTAGTTGCATTGACGGTACTTGGCCTTCCGCCTTGTTCCTGACAACATAGTAGGCATGAATTAATGCACCATATTTCACACCTTCGTGTTACTTAATGTTTAAATGAGGATAAAAATAACCAGAAGTGGATTTTTGTGCCTACGCAGAACAGTCTGTGGGGTACCCTGCTGCTCTCCTTTAAGTCATAATGTGGTTTTGAATGCTGATAGTCATGACATTTAGCATGCATATAAAAAAAGGCTTCTGCTTTTGAAAACTGTCGGTATATCCACCTTGCAATTGCTGCTGCAAGTTTAGTCCAGCATGGACTAACCAGCCAACTTTTTTTGGTTGGTTTTTCAGCTACTAGTGCTGCATGCCGTGTTCCCACATCCTAGTTTAAAGCTAGGTTGGGTATGTCTGCAGTATCCTGCTGTCACTACAGCACAGGTATACCCAGGGAGAAAAAGGATAGCAGATGGTCCATGCTGCTGGAAGTAAATTTCTTCAAACAGGGAGCATGATGAACACATTAATTCTCTGACTTTGCTCTTCTTCTCTTTAGTACGAGTCCAGCTCACAAGTACTACCTGGCTGTGGACCCAGCCTCAGAATCCCTCTACTTGTCAGACACCAACACCAGGAGAGTCTACAAAGCGAAATCTCTCAGTGAAACAAAGGATTTGGCCAAGAACTACGATGTGGTTGCAGGGACAGGTGATCAGTGCCTCCCATTTGATCAGAGTCACTGCGGAGATGGCGGAAGAGCAGCCGAGGCTTCCCTCAACAGTCCTAGAGGTAGGAACGATACGTTAAAAGCCTTTTTTGCCTTTCAGGGTTTGTGGGTTCAAGTCCATTTTGATACTTGATGCATGTGAGTAAATTCTCCTCGTGTTCATGGAGTTTAGGCACGTGCATTTAAGGTCCAAGAAATCTGTGCTCTTCAAATCTGAGGTCCATTAAGACAGTACTTATTTGGAAATCACTAAGTTGACCTTGGCCATCAAATGCACCTAAAAAAAAAAAAAATTCTCCCACTGACTGGCACTAAAATGTTTGGTGCCGCTGTGTTTCCAAAGCAAATGCCATATTGTAGGGGCTGTTTGAAAGTGTCATGTTCATCCATCATTTGTGCCAAAACCTAATCTACTTGCACCAGCCCTTGCAGTAACAGTAAACTGCAGCATAAGACTTGATGTTTTCAGCTGAATGCCCCTAAGCTCCCATCAAAATCAGCAGTAGCGAAAGGGACCCAGCACCTCACGTAACAGAGGTAAATGAGCTGCAGCTTGTTCATTCCTGTTAACACACTGTGAACTCCTAATGAATAGCTCTGAGGTAAAGTTTGATGTTTTAGTTTTTTGAGCTAAAAAAAGGGAAGCTGTTGATCAGTGGGAAATTAGAATGTATATCTAGGCAAAAATATTTCCAAGACAAACAATAAACCCAATTTTAAGGCTTTGCTAAACAACACGTTGCAATTATAGCCCGCGTGACTTTGCCATGTCTTTAATGATGGAAGGTAAGTGCGAGATAAGTAAAAATAAATGTTAATCTTCAGGCAGCTAATTAATGTACTGAATCAACTCTGAAAATAGTAGAAAACAAAGGTTTTCAGATCCCTTTGCAAGAAAACAAGAGTCTATGTATTATTGCTGACCACAATTGATTATATCTAATTAGACTACAATTAGCTGTTCTTTCTTACTTATTGAGAAAGTATGTTGGTGGAAATTTGTAACATGGCATTTACCTTAAAAATAGCTATATATATTTAGCTTCGTAAATAAGAGGTTGAAGTCAGGGAATGAACATTAATTTTTAATTTTTTCTAATTTACTGCCTAAGGGGGCCTAGCAGTAGAGCAGTTAAGGCAGCTCCAGAGATGTGAGTTCAAACTCCACTCTGGACTTGTGCCAAAGCTTCCCCCCAGTCAACCCAGTTGTAAACTGGTACGTTCTTATTTTGGCTGGGAGGTCAAAGGCAGCCAAGCATGACGCCTGCCAGTCGGTCCTTTATGTGGCTGTTAAACCTACATTCGTTTTACCAACCACAAGGCTCAGAAGGACCTTGGATCTTTTTGATTGACAATGAACTTGAAGTTCATGAGCCATGGGCCAGCCAGCAAACTGTGGACAAAACGTATGAAATCAGGCTGGTGGCAGCTAAAGAGGGGAGCGCTCTGGTCGCCTCTCTTTATTGGCTGTGTATTGAGATCATGCTTTTAAAAAGTATTATCATTGGTGCCTCCCCTTCCTTTTCTCACTCGCCTCTTAAATCATGTCTTGTCTTGTAGTGGGCTGTCATTTACCGCATGCCATTGGCCGCAACACTGAGGCCTCTGCTTCTAGGGACAACTGTCATATAAATATTTAATAAATATTAATAGAATTAAGATTAATGATCAATATTAATAACTATACATATATTAATACATATTTTTATGATGAGCATTCTCTGCAAGAATGGCTCCACAAACCTGTTGCTCTAACAGTTCCTTCCTTATGAGAAACTAAGAAAGTTATTTTTTATTTCATAATCAGAGCCGGGTTTTGTGGCTTGCCTTGTATTTTTTCCTTGCCATACATTCAGCAAGAGCAGGTCTTTGTTTGAAATTTAAGAAATAATAATCAAAACAAAGTTTTCCCTCGGCCTTTAAGAAGTTTGAAAGCACCATCTTACCAATGGCAAAAACCCTCTCCCTTTAAAACAGGGTTTTTTATACATGCGGTATTCTTCAGAGACAAAAGCTTTAAAAAAAACGTATTTAGTAGAATGCATCTTGTGAAGATATTGTTTGATTGCTCATTTTGCTTGTCGTTAAAATAATCACTCAGATTATTGGATCAGAAGATAAGTCAATTTGTGTTTCTGTTGCAATTACAGTGAGATGAACGGAGTCTGAGTAACATAATCATTTCTTTTTTGGAAGACTGGAAGTATGGATGAGACTTTAAGGGAATGTATCTATAGGTCATTTAGAGATTGATTAGACATACGACCAAATAAATCACTTCTAATTTCATTCCTTTGAGATTTTTACAATAAGAAAAAAAGTGTCTTGTGTTGCAGATGAAAAGGCTGCATAGATACTTCCCATTCAATACAGCTGGAAATAGGTTCCTCTGTGGCTAGTCAGGCTATTCTCATTTCATTTTTAGCCGCTGATACAAAAGCACAATCTCTTCTCTCCTGTTTCTTTCCTCTCTATCTTGTTTATTCCTGTCCTGGCTCTCCTTTCTTCTGCAGTAGAAGTTAAAATCTGAGCAGTTTAAACAGCATAATACTAAATCACAAGACATGCATAATGATGGTGGGAAGGAAGACGGTTCAACAGCTCGCTGGGGTCAGGCTGTCATGATTCATGAATTCTGTTCCACCTCTGCTGACACCCTCTGTGCCTTTGAATGATCACTTCTTATCCCCATGACTCAATGCATGAGTCTGTAAAGTAAATGTAGTAATGCCTAACCCCGGAGGGTGCTGTGAGACCTAAGTAGTAGTGCTTGGCAAAACACTTTGAAAACCTGGAATATATTTAAAAAAAAAAAAAAAAAAGCTGCTGCAAATCCATATTTACCTGTTATTGTTTGTTTAATATATTATCAGCTGTCCTGGGTGAAATCTATTTCAAAGAATATTTTACTTTTTGGAGTCTTTTTGAAAATAGATATCAATTTTTCTAGTATATGGCACTTTGCTTCTGGCATGCAAGACCTTCATAAGGCATTTCATGAGAGTTGTTCAAATAAACTTTAAACTTTCAAAGAAAGCTTATTAAATAATGCAAGAGCCTTCATCAGCTTTCATTTAATTTTTCTCGGTATCTTTACCTTCAAGGTGACTGTGTTTAGATGCTTATTATTTGGAGGGGAGAAGAGAGGAACATGGGAAGATGAATGCCTGGTGATGGAATTTAATAAAGTGGTACTCCTTAGAAGGACATTAGTCAATTCTTTTGATTGGAACCAGTTTCTCCAACTTCTATTTCGCAGCCAGCAAACAAACACTCACAGCTTTCTTCATTAATTGAATGAGTGAAGGGAAAAATGAAGCCAAGAGGTTGACTGAGCATGAATCCCCTCGTATTGTATATAAGTTTGAAATGACATTGAAAGATGCTTTTAAGCAGGCATGGGTGATGTAGTTGAAACTTGAGCTTCAATATATTATTTTTACTGCAACTTATTTTAATTCTGCCGAGAAGTCAAACTAATGAGTCATGTAATAGATGACCAAGTACTTAAAAAGAATGTGAAATGATACAAGGTGGGGGCATAAAATAAAATCCGTGACAGGCTGAACACATTTATTATACAAGCAGATACTGAAAATGAAGGAATAACTACATAGGATAATATTAATCATCGCCCAGATTCGAGACTCTTGACTTTCACCCAGTACCAGATTTTCAGTTTTTTAAATTTCTCAGTTAAAAAAAAAAAAGTGGGCTTAGTGACGATCAGCAGAACCACAGTCACCATGCTGGGAGGCTGGCGGATAGTTTAAAACACGTGGCCAGATGTTAGGATTCTGGACCGCCAATGACTTACTGTGTAAATCTGAGCTAGTTGCTTAAGAGGCAGGACAAGACATCCCATCTGTAAACTGGGAAACGATGAAAGTCTCACCTCACCTAAGATGCAGGCCTCGATTTTTAAAGGAGTTAAGCTGTTGCTGTTCTCTGATCCTCAGAAGGACATTTGGACTAACTCCTCCTTAGGTGTCTAATTCCTGTTGAAAGCAGCGGGAATTAGTGGTTAGGGCTAATATATTTGTGGATTTAAGTCCAAGTGATTTAGGTCTCATTTTCAAAAAAGACTCGGGCATTTAGGAGCTTATGGGCTCCAAACCCAGTAAGGAACAAAGGGTCATAGAAGTTAGATGATACAAAGCCCAACTTATAGGCAAATGGCCCTCAGAGAAGAATAGAGACCATCCTCAGCCTGAGGGGATCCAAACTTACCTCTAGATAGGGAGCGCTCAAACCATCCAGCTATGAGTAAGCTGGGATAGGGGTACTCGCAGCCCCTGCTATAGAGGCTCAGCTTCTGGAGCCGGACAGCACGAGCTCCCCCCACCTTGCATGCAGGGTGCGCAGGATTTGACCAAGAAGCTTCTACCATAACTGCCTGGGTTTGGTTTTATGGTGTAAATCCTCTTCCCCACACTGGATCCAAATCAGTCCCTGCTACAGAATTGCAAAGAGGTGAACACAGAGCCCCTCCCCAGTATTAGTTAATGTATTGCCTGTCGCATAAAGCAGTTGTGCATCTGTCATTTGTTGCCTGCCCCGTATACCCCGAGCTATTTGCCTACTAATTTCTGTTGAATTTTTATTATGTTCCCAGTCAGGCTGTTAGTGAGGCCTGGGATATGTCCTTTTCAGCACAGATGAAGCGTAAATTGTTTGAGAAGAGAATTTCGGCAGAAAAGCTGCAGTTCTGCTTACAGACAAGTAGAATATGGGTGCTTTAGAAATTTAAGATAAAAAAAATTTAAGAAACACTTAAATAAAAGATTTAATTTTAAAAAGGTGATTGAAATCCTGTTAAAGAAACAAAGAAAATGTTTTTGCCCTTTTTGGTTCAAACTTTGATGTGAAACCACTGGACACTGTCAGTGACAGGTCATGAAAAAGGTATAGTTTGAAAGGCTTTATTTTTTTTTTTTTTTAATTCTGAAAATAGTCACGGCTCTCTAGCTTTCTATCTGCAGCACTTCTTGCAAATGTAAACACAAAAAGAGCTGTAAAAACCACTTGCTGGAATTAAATATGTTCATATTTTGTTATATGT